ATTTATAGTCGACTTAATATCTTGGAGTGAGTGGTTTGAGACCTTGAAGTTACAAGTGTGGAGTCTGTTTGAAAGGTAATTCAGGACCTTTCCATGTCATCGTTGCAACTTTTACTGTAAACGACTTATCTTCGCATAATCACTTGTGCTTATAATACTATCTGTTTATAATTTTGGTTGTGCCTGATGGTGGTATTGAATCTCCTTAGGTGTTTGCACAGATGAACTTGTTCATTGTCATTTTTTTGGTTGCCCGCCTCCCTTGTTTCATTAAAGTTGGCAATGGGAGTGGAAGATTTTTTTCTTCTAAATCTGGGTGGAACCATCCATCCAAAATAAAAGATGTTATCCATGAAAAATCTGGGCTGTACTGATTCTTGTTCTTGGAAGAAAAGGTAGAGAAAACTTGGAAATTTCAAGGGTTTTATAATGATGGACAAGCGTAAATTTCATGTTGGTGGTTTTTCAAGTTTCACACTTTTTAAACATCTATAGAGACCCATCAAGGGCAGATATTATTGTGGAAATTAATTCGAATCAAAGGGCAAGATAAAGAAGTAGTCAGGATGTGGTTTTTTCTCTCATTCGTGCTTCCTGTCCGCTGAATCTGCTGCTTGAAAGGCTATATAGCCCTGTGGGTGTCTTTAATCCTCCCCGTTCTACTCTACTTACCCAGATTCCACCATTCCTTCTGCTGATCATCCCACTCCATTTTTAACAATTTTACACTGATTGGCAATCTATTTCAATTTAACAGCAACAGTATATCCCAAGAATTACGCTTTATATTCTGATAACTTCTGGCTGCTTTCAAGAATTCTGCTTCTTAATGGTAGCCAATTGTAACCGGGTTTTACTTTTTATATTCCCAGCAATCAAGTTTCAATTTTAAGGGGCTTGTCAAGGGAAAACCAGGTCCTTGGATCCTTTTTTTCTTGAATATTAAATAATAATAAAATCACAAAAAATAGAAAATAATTTGAAATGATCATTAGCATTTTTGAAAAATTCAGTTGAGAAATATCAAAATATTAATTATTTTAAAGGGTTTTTGATTAATGATAAGGATACGGGAAGAAAAATTTTGTTCAAAACAAAATAATTTAAGGATAAAATTGACTAAATTAATGGTGCATGTCTCAATGTATCACAGCTCCAGTAGTTCAAGAAAAAAAAATGCTATTAAACCTGAACCTCTAGGGAGGATGACGGACAGCGGGAGGCCCTTTTCCAGCCCTAAAGGAGTAAAGAGGTTTGTTACTGGAAATTACTCTCTGCATTCCCCGTTAATAGATGACTAGCTGCTGGGAGCGTTAGTAACTTGAGACCATAAAGCCACCTTATCGAGCCTGTTTCTAAAACTAATCGAGTAAATTTATTTTTTCTGTTGGTCAATGCCACGACTTTTACTATTAATGACCATCTTTTTTACATGTTTGTTTGTATTTAAAAATATAATTGAAGAATGTTTTTGGATAGTTTTCCACGACTTTTACTATTAATGACCATCTTTTTTACATGTTTGTTTGTATTTAAAAATATAATTGAAGAACGTTTTTGGATAGTTTTGATAGGTTAATGCCAAAAATAATTTTTTTAAAAAAAATTAATATAAGTAGAAAACACTTAAAAAATAATTCTAACTTCCAAACAGGCCTTTAATTACTTTCGCCAAAATAAAATTTTCCTGGCCTGCGAGATTGTCCAGTGGCATTTGGTGGGCTACACCAGCAGCAATTCTTGCACTTAATATCGTCACCAGACTACGGAGCGCTTTCACAAGCAAACCACGCACCATAGATACATTACTCTTTCTCACACAGAATTAAAAATGCAGAGAACATGAGACAGACATTCAAATCTATAAGCTCAGATCACCAAATGTCAAGGGAAGTTTGAGTTGGGTGGGAGCTGGAATCAATCCAGCAGAATTAAACACTCTATGGCCAGAACAACTCAGTTTGTTAATTCCATGATGGCAGTAACGATATCACCATCTGCAGCCTTGAGAGCTTTCACAGCCTTTGATCTGGAAACCCCGGCTTGTGTCATCACCAACTCAATATCCTTGGGCTCCACACCAGTCTCATCTACATCTTCATCATCTTGGACCGTGGACAATGGCTCAGGCTGTGATGCGGATGTACTTGGATTAGGTGCCTTGAACTGCTCAGCAGCCTGGGTCTGTAGTTGGGAGCTCAAGTCCTCAATCTTTGCTTCCCCAAAGACAATGTATGTGTCTGAATTGGGACTTTTGAAAACATCAGGTTTTGAGATAACAAACATGATCTGATAAGCAAAACCATAGTACACGATAATGCATTTCAAAGATTTATCAGAACCCAAGGTAGACGAGGGGATTAATCAATAATGACAATATGATGAGACGTTAAATGCTTACATTCTTGCTCTTTTTTACTGTAACTCGGCTGACACCTGGGAATGGCTTCATTCCAAGTTTCAGCATTGCCTTACGACTCTTCTTTTCACTTCTGCTCTGCTTACCCCGGCCGCCTACATCTCCTTTCCCTGCCAAAATCAATAACCCTGGGTCAGCAAACAAATCATACCCAACATCCAATATTATAGTGTCATAAAGCATGGATTGCAGATGCTCTTTGTCCTTGTTTTTCTCTGGCCACCATAATATATATCCAGCAACTTCGTGTAGTTCAAAATGTTCAAAAACTTTGACAAGTGCAAATTTGCTTATAGTTCCAGAAGATGCGTGGTCCACTTTATTAGATGGCTAGTTCAATAACGGTAAGCTCTTTAAAATCTCATAACACGCTGCCATTAATACTAAAACTTGTTTCTAAGAATACTCCAATAAATCCAAGATGTTGTTGTTCTTTATATATGAGCTAACATATAACCCTCCGGTAAAACTCATTAAAATATATGCTGTGTCTGCAATACTTCCCAATAAAATCATGTGATAATGCCTCAAACATGGATGCTTAATGCAATTTATTTCACACCTAAGCCATGAATCTAAAGTTATCACAGAGGAAAAAATGCCTGCCTCTGAATCAGACTGGCTCGAAGCTCTATATATTGCAGTAACTTTGATTCATCGCACAAGTGAACATCCAGATTCATAATTTAACACTTCTCACCTTCATCATCCTTGTCATCATAATCATCGTCATCCTCATCAGATTCATCCTCGTCATCTCCGTCCTCAACTGTAGGCTCACCATGCTGCAAAAACACAATTCCTGAAGTTCAAACACAGTCCAAGCAAAAAAAATGCATCTGTACGAATCAGGTTCTTGTAAATTCCAATTATCATCCACTTGAAAATCAAAATGCACTCCACTTGCTGATGCACGAAACAACCAAAAACTAAAGGTATGAACAAGAGATACAAAAGAAACTCTTAAACATTAAAAAAACTTTCCATGCATCCACAAAATTCCCAAACTACTTTCAAAGGATTCACTAAATCAAGCTATCTAACGATACTTCGAAAACTCATACTAGGTCATGCATGCTAGTTTTAAAAGTTCAAATTCCAATCCTAAACAGCAGCAAACATAACAAAACCTTAGTTTCTCAAATCACATCAAAAAATTTAGCAACTGGGTCATTTCCCTTCCGTTCATTCTCACAAAAATCACTCCCAATCTTTTACTGTCAAAGTAAGAATTAACACAACTCAGTTCATTTCAAGAAACACAAAACACTAAACAGAGAAAAAGAAAATAAAACAGTAACAAGAGATAGAGAGAAATGGGAAGTGATGAGATTACTTTGAGTTCTTGTTGTTCAAGATAAGCAGCAAGGAGTTCTTCTTGAGACTTAATAGTCGTCATCTTTTCTTTCTTCCTTTTTTTTCCCCTTCTACTGTTCGGACAAGAAATGGTTCTGTTCTTACAAACCCTAAACTAAACTTACCCAAACACCGACAACGGCTGTTGAAACCCGTTTATATAATAGTACCAAACGCGTCGGGTCCTCGGACTTAGGTTCCGTTTTTTCAAAAAACAAAAGCTTTTGTCTTTTTTTGTTTTTTTTTTTTCAGGAGGGAAATTGAACTCCAATGGGAAGTTAATGACTTGCTTATTTAGTGTTCTGTTTTTTTTTTAAAAAAAAATTGTTCGGCATTATATAAATTTTTATAGTTATAATTAAAAAAAAGGTTAAATTTTTTTCACAAATTATTGCTTTTTTTAGTAAGTTTTTTTTAAAAAAACAATTTCAATAAAACTTGTACAAAACTATAATATATATCACTTAATCAAACACTTTCAAATATATAATTAAAATAAAATATAATTTCAACCACTACACTCTAACAAACTCTTACTTACAATTAAAATAAATATTATTTTTTAATCATTTTTTAACGTTAAAATTGAATTTTGAATTTTAATAGTTCAATATGGGCTACTAATATCAAGTTAAAAACATTGATTTCTAACAATCATGTAGCAGGTTTAATAATGTAAGGGGGTGGTTTTTTTATTTGAATTTCTTTTTTCATTTTAAATTTTATTTTATTTCATGATTCCCAATTATATGTTTAGTGCTAAAGTCTAGGGTATCTTTGTTTTAAAAAATATTAAGATATTTTTTTTTATTTTTAACATTAATATATTAAAATCATTAAAAAAACAGTAAAAAATATCAAATTAATATTTTTTTTAAATAAAACATACTTTCAAAAAAATAATCAAAAACATAAATTACCGCAACTCACTCAAGCACGCATGCTTCCTTTCATCAAGAATTGAATGCTAGAACATCTCAACTAGAACACGAGAAAGTGAATAGGGCAGAGGATCAATTGAGATAAAAAAAAAAAAAAAAAACAGAGAGGATGTTTGATAACCTAGCTGTGGTAATTTTGGCTGCAAGGAGTCATTCTCACAACAAAATAACATAAAAACAGTAAATACAGGTTTACAATTCTTAAAATCAATTAAAAACTAACATATATAAATTAGAAAACCTGAAAATAAAAATTAAAAAAATAATAAAAGTCCCATACAAAATAGAGAAAATAAAATTATTAAACATAATATTTAATTTCTTAAATTAAATTGAAAAAACTAAAAAATAACTAAAAAAGCAAATATTTTTTTCTACATGATAAGAGTTACATGTATATTCAACGGTCCTTCCACCTGCCAGAAAATGCTGTTGGAAGAACCTTGCCAGGTTCTACAGCTTTCGCCAGATCCCTAGAGCTATGCCGTTGCCTCTTTCCAGTCATTTACCTCGGAAACTTGGAATGGACTAGTGTTTGGCTGCTTCACCAACCACCACCACCTCCTGACCATCCACTGTCGGCTTGTGACTATTAAGAACCTCTCTTGGGAGCAGTACCGGGAGTTCAGAACTCCTGTTGTCAGTGGCCCCACTACCATTTTCTTGACCCCAGTCACCACCGCCATTGCCACCAGTACCCCCAGCTACTCTGTGCTGGACCTTCTTAAAGAGTTATTGCCCCCACCCAGAATTCTCATCGTTAGTGCCTACACCACGACTTCCATGACCAGAGTCACTACCATTGCCATTTCCACCTCCAGCAGCACCCCACCCCCTTTGTGCTGAATCTCTCTTCAAGCTGGTAGTACCCCGCCCAGAATTCCCACTATCAGTCCCACCACCAGTTCCAGGGCCCCAACCACTATTATCACCACCACTAGCTCCACCACCCCAACCATTTCCACCACTGCTTGCACCAGTTCCCCAGCCACCAGGAAAAGCTTCCCTGCCAGGTGAGTTTTGGACTTTGGCTCCTGGGAAACTGCCCCAGCCTTCATCACCATCCTTGGTTCCTGAATCCCATCTGGGCTTATCATAACCAGAATCCCGCCTTTCATTGCCATTATTACTTCCTCCGCCATTGTTATATGAGCCACGACCACGTCCTCGTCCACTGTATGGTCTTGGTGCCCCACTCTGGTGACCATCTCGACTACCACCACTTCTATAATCATTTCGACCTGTAAAAAGGAAACATGGAAGAGCATTTAAGATTTTTACATTAACAGAAATTAGAAAGAATACCAAAATCTTGTAGTAAGCTGGTAGAGAAGACAAAAGCAAAATATGGATGACAGCCTAAAATGCTCATTAGATCTGAAATGGATCGGGCAACTCTAAAATCTGCCAAAACAGCTTGGAGACCTGTTGTACACCCAGAAATCTTTAACCATCAAACAAACAAGTGTGTTTAGCAACATAAATGGTTTAGTCTGCCATATGGACCCCTATTTTCATCAAGATCTGGGTAACTCCACATGAAGGGTAATCCCGGAGAATTCAAGTTCCACCAGAAGTGCAATTTAATGGACACAGAAATGCAAGGTTTGAAAGTGCACAAAGAATTTCATTTGATTTTCATACTAGAATTTAGTGTATCTAGCTCTAAGTCTGGAATGCAGAGGTCATATAAGAAATGAAAGAAAAACCCGTGCAAGCACTTTTCAACCAAATCCTTCAGCAAACTGAAGAGGCTACAAAGTGATATCTTAGATGGTTTGCTTCAGCATATCATACGTCCACCTTGTTTTTTAATTCTTTACCTGTCCTGGAACCTGGACCAGAAGAACGATCTCTGTCAAAAGACTGCCCTCTCCGACCACCTTCATAGTTTGAACCGCCCCAGGACGAGCCCCCAGTTGCAGGGCTTCGCATTGGGACCATAGCAGCAACTGACCTAATTGATGGTGCTGATTCATGCAAGGAATCATCTATATGCTTTTGAAAATATGCCACCAGCCGATCAATGTCCTCAAACATACGCTTTCGGAACTTGAATCCCTTGGGATATAGACCAACATACTCGTGATGGGGATTTGTACTCCTTATATAAGTGAGAATGAATGTGCCTGGGTGTTCATGACAAATGCCAAATGCATAAACTATCCTAGTAGGCTGTTGTGATTTCTCAATCCTAAGGAGCTCATCAACTTCTGCTTTGGTGCCACTTCTGAACTTGCGATAACTTAGCATTGCCTTTAGGTAGCTCACCAAGGGATCAACATAGCGGTCCATTACCTACATCCAAAAGAAAGTCAACACCAATCTAGCAATTTCACTTCATAAAGAACAAGAGAACACAAGCCTATTCCCTCGCCAAAAAACATACAACAAGCAACCACAAAACATTATGTTCTTTTTTTTTTTCAATTGAGGCAATAAGTACATGAGCAACTACAAGCAAAACCTTTGGTTCAAGAAGCTGAAATAAAAGAAACCAACCTCATCCAAATCCTCAAATGTGTCCTCCCCAATTTTCAATGTCTTCCCAATACGAAGTACACTCGTGATATCTTTGTGTTCCTTCCCACCTTCAACTATGTCTTTGTGAGCATAAACTCCGTTGTAAACTTTAAGGGTTAGAGTTAAATACGACGGCCCACGAGAACTAGGATGAATAATACTTTCTCCAGGATCCTTGTCAGATAAGAACTGCAAGACAAATTATTTAAAGAAAAAAAAAAAACTTAGATCGGACACAATTAATTGTAGAAAACAGAAACAAGCCAATTTTAACAAAGAAAATAATTATCAAAAAACATAAAATCAAAACCCAAACTGCATTTTCAGAGTACAAAGTAAATCCAAAGCAAAATATAAGTAAAATCCAAGCCTAGGCCCATAAATGAAGAGGATTCACACAACATGGTAGAGAAGAAATATAATGGAAATTGTCTTTTTGGAATTCTAATTAAACCACATAAGAAAAGATAATCTTCACAATCCAATCGATCTACCAAACATTTGACTAACAGTATACAAGTATAAAGCATCAAGAAGATACCTCCATTGCTTCATCAGCCGTTATATTCTGGAAGCGTGGATGAACAATCATCCTAGGCTTGAAATGTTTCTTTGCAAGTTCCCTCTCTTTGCGAACCTTCTCCTGCTCACTCCTCAGACTGCTCTGGTCTTCATGATAATAGCGATCAAGGTTTCGGGCCTGCTGATATCGGTTATTTCTCATCTCACTGTCTTTGCAAACAAGAAACACTTGATATCTATTCTTCTGAATTGATTTTATCTTGCAAGTCAGTATATCATCTTCATGCAGCTTGTCGGACAACTCAGGAATATCCCTCCAATCATCAGCGTAGTCCTCCTTTGTAAGAATCCCAGTCAGACCAGATTCCAATGCACATATTGCCTTTCCACCTTGCACCCTGCGAACTGTGGCTTGTACAATTATCCCTTCAGCAAGGGTATCCTCGGTTTCACCTGAAATCATATAAAATTCCTCATCCTGGGTTGGTTCTTTATACTGTTTACGCCAATCTTGGAAACCTTGTATTAATTCCCTTCTTATATCCATGAAAGTCTCCTTCTTGTTTTCCCGCTTCTTGTCTTCGAGATACTTATCGAAAACAAATGTTTTCAATAAATTAGGCCGCTCTTTAACATGCTCAATTGCCATCTCGAGTGCATCATCATCATCATTTACATCACCACTGTCCTTTTCATAAATGACTTTTGCCAACTCCTGTGCGAGACCATAGGATTCTGGATGTATCCTTGTATCATCTAACACATCAATGAACTGGCTGCTGCTAGCAGCAAGGCCACTCCTCCGGACACGCAAAAAACCAACTGCATTGACAAACACCTTTTTACCAAGACCATGAGCTGTAACGAAGTCCTTGCGAGTGAAAATCGCTCCAGTTCTTACCAGAGATCTCTGCAAAGATGCTGCCTTTCTGGGTCCAAGCCCAGAAATGAATTGTAAAGGAGCAAATAACCATTCATGGCTTGTGGCCAAATTAATGTCTAAGCCCACCTGGTTTGTGGCATCTACCATGACTTGTTCAATCACCATGTATTTATCATCAGGAGTGAGAAAGTTCTCCAAAGGATTTAGTTTCCAAGATAGAATCTCCTTAGATGGTCCACATAGCGTTGCAACCATAGCCAAGGGATTTTGTAGATAACGGCCAAGAGCAACAGCCCGTTTAACAATGCCTAACCACATAAGAGAAGACAGGGTTAACTGCATGCGTAATGGACTTGAAAGATCAAAAACAGCAGCAAGACAATATATAATACCTGACTGCCCAGGTAGTTGATCAGAAGAAATCCGAGAATTTTCATAAAGACGGGGGAGAGACTCGTCCCCATACACAATACTCAGCTCATCCATCTCATGTCCAACATCTCTAGGATTTTCCTCCACCATTTTAAAAATAATCTGATAGTGGCAGGATGAAATAAAATAAGCACCAGTACAGCAAACTAATGAGTAACATGAATTACTATAAATGACAACTGCATATGCTCAAGCACAAAGGAACTCCTCGCAAAATCAAGTAAAGCTGGAGCTTAGCAGAACCAGTGATGGGCTACAATTAAGCTTTGAAAATGTCAACAATGGAAAAAGTGATGAGAGAAGGATAAATAATGAATGAAAAGAATATTCTTCAGGAACAAAAGAAACTAAGCAAAAATGGTACAGCAGTTTGCTAGAGAAACATCCCCGAAGGAATCCGTAGCATGACCCTGTAAGGACCTAGAATTCCACTCTCATCAAACTCAAATAAACAGGACAAGTATGACAAATGGAGAAAAAGAGGCCAGCAACAATAAAGCTTCGCCAATAAAACAAGTAAAGAAAATACCCACAGCCTTGATAGCAGGAACTTCCTGCTGCCAAAAACATCGCAGGCCTTAATGTTAGCGCATGCAAGGAGAGCTATTGTTAAGAAAAATAATAGATTAAGCATTTTTCTACCACCTTTAACAATATGTAGTAAGCTTGTTATCTTTTCTGCTACGCTTATTTTCAAACAGGTTGCAGGCACTCCTCAAAAATGAGTTGCAACATGTTTATTTTTTCAAACAGAAATAAGGCCTTGTTAATTGTTACGGTTCAAGACTTCATATCTTTTGCTTTTTACAACATAGTTGTGCAGATCTTAGCTCCAACTCAAAGGCTTAGAAAAGAGAACATCCTTAGTGGTTATCCCATCTCAAGATCTATCAAGAAAACCCACCAATTAAATAGTGAATAGAAATATCCAAAAAGGTCTGTCTCAATCAAGAAGATGTGAACTTGTGATAAAACTTCTGTGTGGTTTTCATAGAAGGCCCAGATGATCACATGCATTGATCTATGCCTCATTCATGGCAGCACCCTTCGAAATAGATCACTGTGCTTGAATGAGTAGATACTGTGGAGAGATTTCTCGAGTGTAACAGCCGAATAAAATCTAGCAGTGTCAAATAAAAAACAACTGTGTTTTTTAAGCAATTAATGCTGCCTCACACCTGGTTGCATCTAACTCCGCTATGTTTAAGGCAGCAGAAGCCAGGAATTTTTGTTCATGTGTAAAAGACAGCACCTCAATTACTCTATATGGTAATATAAAAATATAATGAATAAGTTCAGTGCACCCACAAGTCACAGCATCTGACTCCAGATTTATTTGCAAAAAACACCAAGACTCATGAATAAGTTTGTAATTATTTACCTCGTAAATGTCATCCTTCAGTTTAGTACAAGACAAGTGCACAGCTCCAAGAACAACCACGTGTGGCTGGTGGTCTGTCATAAATTTCAGAACACGTTGCTGATCATTTTTCTTGCGTTGCTGATCATTAGCATGCTGAGATCGTAAGGTAAGGGACCCAGCATAAAGTACATCTAAAACCTCCCCAGATGAATCTAGCATCACAAAAGTAGTAGCTGGCTTTCCAGGACCCCAACAGCAAGCCATAACCCTAGGTGCAGCTTCATCATCCATGGAAATATCACTTTCTTTACGTTGATATGGGCCCACAGAGACTTTATTCCAAAAAACCTTCCCATATTCCCAAAGCAACCGGTTTTTAGCTCTACTTGTCAACAATGACCTAGCCTCTTTCTCCATTGAAGGCAACAAAAAAGCAAAGAGTGCATCCTTCAGTATCAAACTCCTTTGCTCATTCCACAGTTGAGCATATTTACTAACACCAATACTCAGGTAGCGACCGTTACAGTCATCAATCAATTGATCCATAACTTTTTGTGGAAGCTTAATAGTGACTTGAAGAAGTTTCTCCTCTTCAGCTTTCTGGATAAGGAGCCACTGTGCATCCTCAAACTTCTTGACTGGCTTTTCACGCAACCACTTGATACCTGCAAACTGATGGAAAGAATCTATAGCAGCTTTCCCATCTGATGTTGGACTCGTAGACACTACAGCCTTGTCCATAAAAATTAAACGGACATATCTCCTGACACACGGCTCACAACTTATCTCAACTGCAGCCTGAAAGAATCCACCAAAAAAAAAAAAGTTTGGAACTTGACCTCATGAACAAGCATATCATCCAGCAGAACTTTTTGTAGTTGCAAGTATATAAAATAAGAACATCGATCCATACCATGTGCCTAGCCCCTTTAAGAACTGCTTGGGGACTTTCAAACATTGCACATGTAAAATTTGAAGCCATCTCCTCTGGTGTTTCCTTGGCATCCTGCAACTCGTCCTCCTAGAATCAAATGAAACGATAAAGTTATGCATCCATAAAAAACATCTATGATCACTAGCCTAGGCAAACTCACCATCTTTAATAAAGATAACTGCATTCCCAGTTGCTCGGCACTGTAACCAAATTTGCTTGCAACTTCCCATAGACCAGCCTTACTACAGATACTGTATTGTGATCTCCGCATGGGCCTCTTGTACTGTCCTTCATCCACCCCAACCTCACCTGGTGGAAAATGCAGGTTAAATTTTGCATCAACATCATCAACCTCTCTTTCTGATTCAGCAGTCTTCAGTGATTTAAGAATTGACTCAAACAGCTGCTGATTTAAATTAAGTCTTGTTTCATCATATATCCGTCGAGATTCTTCTTCAAAGCGCTTATTGTAGTAAGCATTGAGGGCACTCTTTCGTTTCTGAAGAAGTAACCACTTCCTGTCCAAGTCCTGGATGGCCCAAAGCACCTAAAGGAACCATGTGCATGTTTAAAACATAGATTTCTACCATAGCTCTTGATGTATGAGCTTCACTATGAGATAAATAAAGGTGACACTGTCATGATAAATTATTACCTTGTGCCACTTGAATGTGGGAATTCTACCAGTGTCATAAGGATTTTCATCATCTTCACATTGCTCGGGATCTTTCAACAGGCTTAAACACTCTTCCTTCCGATACATAGCAATGAAGGGAATCTAAAATCCAGAATGGAAAGCCAATAGAATAGGGTGAAAATTGGAACATGACACCAAAGTTCACTTATAAAAATAAAATATACTAACATCTAACTTCTGAATGTGATGTAATTCCAAAAATCGGGTGACATCATCCTTGTTTATAAGCAGTCCACTCTCCGCAAACAAAGGCAATGTTCCACTTGCAATCTGACTATAAATCCAGTTGCTCTCCTCCATTATGCTGAAATCATCCAATGGAGGAGGACCAGTGCTTCCCTCAGATACCTATAAGAAATGAATAGATAAAAAGAGCAAAGAACAGATGCCAAAATGAATACAACTGAGAGGGAAAAAAAATAGTATATTCTCAAAAGTAGACAAGTCACAAAACCTGCATTCTTTCTGGAATATCAGTCATCCGGATCTGATCATCTTTCTCAGTCATGTATTTTTCAGAAAGGACAGTTGGCTCAAATTCATCTTCCAGTCTCCTTTCTCTCCATTCACTAGATTCTAACCCTTGCCTGCGTATCTGTATGAGTTCATCAACATCACCAAATATCTCTTGAGCTTCTTGCAAGGCATAAGATGAAACTCCAGATGCCTGCTGAGATTTCTTTTTCTTTAGCTTCTTGCGTCTACAAAATGAGTAAAATAATTAAGAGACACTTATAAGATAACATAAACCACACACACTGCATGGGTAATGGAAACCATACCTCACAAGAGTTCCATCATCATCATCTTCATCCACAATAAAATCAGCCATCTCATCCTCGTCACCAATGTCCACATCCTCTTCCACTTCTTCTTGCTCCTCCTCTTCAGGCATATCCTCAAGTGGAACCCCTGTGGTTGAGCATGATTACAATGACAAGCATTCAACATACAAAATACCAATAATGGGAAAAAACAAGTGCAAGATGTGCATGCCTTCATCATCACCAAATAAGCTGCGCTTCAGTTTCTCCTCAGCAGTTCGACCACCTTTACCACTTCTATCAAACTCGTCATCAGAAAGCCCATATCTGTCCTCATCTGAATCCCTCTGAGCTTTCTTCAAACGCTTAAATTTTTTGCTATCCTGACAGAAATTTTAAGCAAAGCCCACATAATTATAAGCCAAACTATTCACCCATACAAGCAGTGCAAGAATTAAGCTGCAGTGTTATTGGTGCCAAACATGACAAAGCTCACAACCTTTGGCCGATGGTGGTACACGTTGTTGTCTCGCAGGAGCTCGTAGTCATCTTCATCGAGTACATCCTCAGCTTCTCTAAGGACATTGAAACAGCATCATGGACACCAATAACCCCATTTTTTTAGAACACAATTTACAATAAAACAACCCATGACTCTTTTCTCCATCACTCACAGTCACAAATATTCCTATTCCATATATCAAAAGAAAAGGAAGATTATAATACCAAAAAACAAGAAAAACACAATAAGAGTAAAGAAAACCCCACCTTTTCTTCTTTTTCTTCTTCTTCTTGTGCCTCTCCTCGTCGCTATCTGCCCTGTCCTCTTCTTCTTCCACCTCTTCTTCCTCCTCGACATCATCCACTATAAAATCATCCTTCTCATATTCATCCTGCCCTTCTTCTGCACAAAAACCACAAAACTAAATCAAACACTCTTTACCGCAACTCATCACTTACATTCCAATGAAAACCCAAACCCACTATTTTTTCATTTATCCTTGCCACAATTCATCACTTCCATTCCAAAAAAAAAAAACAAACCCACTTTTTTTGCCGGGAAAAAAAAGGTTAATTCCCCTCAAACTAAACACTTAGAAAAAAATAAAACCAATTACCCCAAAATTTAACTAAAACCAACTCGGATTAAACCCTAAAAACTCCAATAAAAAAACAAAACTTTAAGCTAATGCAAACCATCCTCCTCCTCCTCCTCGTCGTCTCGTCCAATTTTATCTCCATCAACTGGCTCTCTCTCATCTTCGTCTTCTAACTCCACCTCATCTACAAAAACCACAAACCAATCACGAACAGCAAATGCGTTAGTGAGTTAACAAAATTGCAGCAGTTTTTAGGGTGAAAATAGCGATTTTCCTCACCTTCTTCGTCAGAAACCACGTTTTTTCCCATGCCGGTTGATCTGATCGAAGAAAAATCGAAAATTATGGCAAACAGAGAGCCAAAGGAAGAGAAATTTGAGAGATTTGGTAGTGATTGCGAGGATTAAAGAGTGAAATTAGAAACGAAAGAGAAAAAAAAACTCGAAAAAAAAAAAGACAGGCTTTCGCTGCTTGGATTTTATGTGGTAAACTTTGAGAGATTTGGTAGTGATTGCGAGGATTAAAGAGTGAAATTAGAAACGAAAGAGAAAAAAAAACTCGAAAAAAAAAAAGACAGGCTTTCGCTGCTTGGATTTTATGTGGTAAACTTGTTGGGCTCTTTGTGGGCTAACCTTTTTTTCAACTTCTTCGGTCTTTCCATTATTAAACATGATCCGGGGTTTACACAGCAAACGGTTTCGGATTAAGGGTTAAGGTGATGTTTGTTTTATGTTATTAAAAAATATATTTGAAAAAATTTAAATTTGTTTATTTTAAATTAACATTTTTTGATATTTTTAAATTATTTTAATATATTAATATTAAAAATATTTTTTTAAATATTTTTAAATAAAAAAATATTTTAAAAAATAATTACAATCACAATCCAATCCGAGACATATACTAAACAAAGTACTCCAAGTTAACTTATATATTATTTAAAAAAAAAAAAATTGGATTTTGACTGGTTATTGATTAATTTACTAGTTAAACTCAAATTGATCGTTTTTGTCAGGTCGCTTGGGCTTAGGCTTCGCTGTAAGAAACCAGAGAGGCCCACGGACTAGCCCGATAAGAATAATCCACTGATTATGCTTATCATTCGAGGCAACATAACACGAGATACGAAGAAGTCGCGAGACAGGGCAAGGCTGTCGCTACGAAGAATGAAGAGGGGAAAATGATTATGTTTTAAAATATTTTTTATTTAAGAATTTCTTAAAAAATATTATGTTATTTCTTAAAAATTATTTTTAATATAGCATAAAAAAACAATTAAAAAACAAGAAAAAATCATCACAATCTTAATGTTTGGCGTCAAAAAAATGTGAAAAATATTATTTAAATATATTTATAATTAAAAAAACAAACGTTAAAATCTAACAGAGATCACGTTGAGAAGTTGATATGGGACGTGTACTTCGATAAATCCATGAATCACAGAGAAAGACAGGCAACTAACAAGCCAAATTGAAAAGATGAACGCGAACTAATCCGTTAGATGATTCGGAGACCCGCGCCATGGATGGTAGAATTCTCGAGATCAAAACCCATCTTGAATGTCTGTTTTTAAGTTATTTTTATGATTTAAACCTGCAAAATCGACTCGGATTGCTCCCTCCAATTCAGGAATTAAGATTTTTTTTATTTTGTTTCCTTTTTTATTTTAGTTTTTCTGGATTTCTAGTTTATTTTATTTTATTTAATGGTTTATTCCCTGGTCAACTAGGACAAACCAGTTACGTTGCTTGTAAGTATGGTATTATTCATAAATAATTAAATCCAGGAGTTTTTCAAAGTTTTCTATATCTTCTCCTTGAAGATTTTTGAAAGATAAATAAGTCGTATCAATACACTATACATCATGTGAAAAATCTACCCAGATATCTTGGGTCTTACTGTTACAGTCTGCAGACGATGAGATTTTAATATTTTATGATAAATACAAACAAAAAAAATAAAATAAATTTTTTTTTATTATGATTTTATATGGATAATTTTTTTTTCTTTAAAAACAAGAGGTGCTTGTGTTTTATTATATATTTTTATATCTTTAATAAAAAATAAAATATTGTTTTCATACTTAATTAAAAATAAAACATTAAAAATATTATATGATATTTTCCACATCGTATCAAAATTAATATATATATATATATAATTTAAAAAAGTAACTCAACTAGTTTGCAATATATATATATATATATAAATTAAAAAAGTAAACTCGAATTCAAAAGGTCTTGAAACCCTTTATAAAAATTATTAATTTAAATTTTATAAATCTAATATTATTAAAGATTTATATAATTATTAATTTTAAATTATATAGAATTATTTAAGATACATGTAAATTAGTCGGAATATTTATATTAAAAAAATAAAAAAAGTTTGAAAAAAAAAAAAGGAGGATTCCCACTGCCATGCAAACTGGAACCTCATCCTTATAAAAGTGAAGCCACTCATCTTCTCTCGGAATATGTCCTCTGTGCGATGGAATTGTGAAAGCTCTAACATGTATAAAAATATCAACACCTAAAAGTCGAATCAAACTTCAATTATTTTAAAACGGAATCACTCAAATCTCAACGCTTAAGTTACTGGGTATTGAAAAAAACTCGATGAAGTCTAAACTAATCAAACCAAAGTAATTTGTCGAATCAATTGGAACAAGATAATATATAACTTTTTTTATATTAAAAAATAATATTTTTAAATTTTTAAAAAATTAAAATAATATTATTTTAATTGACTCAATTTAATTCAATCAGCTAGTATTATTTTAATTAACTTGATTTAGTTCAATCAGCTCACGGAATTCAGAATTCAGGAGGTAGTGTGTGTGCGTCTGGAAATTCAAGGACATGATTGCACAATGGAATGCAAACGCAGCTGGGAAATTGGATTAATAAAAGAATAGGATAAGACTATATTATTTTAATTAACTTTATTATTGACCCATGATATCATAGGATAAGAAAAGAATATGATTAAAGGAAGGATTAATAAATCAAAGCATCACTTTATGCTTCTGCTATGAACACTCTCGAGGGGTTGGCACTTCACTTTATTACCTTCAGTGTATATCTTCTCAATTTACCATTCTGTTTTTACAGTTTTTTTTAATAATTTCCCCCCCCCCCCAATTGCTTCATTTACTTTATTATATTTAATTATTTTTTACTCTCAAATCTCCATAAATATGATAATTTATCATAAATACATGTAAAACTAAGACTAACGAAAAAAATACTCACCAACACACTCCATATACGAAAAAAAATTTATTTGATTTTTCCTTTGAAAAATCTAAAATATGAGCTAGATTGAAGTTCGCCATGAGTTACTTTTTCACGGCTGAGATTAGTGCACGTGTCAAATCCAAAGGTCAAGGCATCACTGGCCAAAATGAAAGTCAATGTGCCAGCGCTGCATTATCCTCTGGCTAAAAACTAGAAAGTATAAAACACAGGTGAGGTCAGAGCAAAACGACGATCCACGCGAAATGCACATGCATCACGGGCGTGCGTGTGGGGGCGGTGAGACCCACCCATCTCCCGTGACTGCCGCGTGTGGTTCATTTAGTCATTACTGTATTGGAGCACTGTACCCAGCCACCAGCCGTAATTTCGCTTTCTAATTAGTTGACGCTTCCCCGTCACGCACGTAAACCAAGCACCGTTTGAAAACCCTGCCTCATCATGGGTTCCGTGGGTTAATTAAATGATTTGTACGTTAATTCGAGTAAATGACTTTTTTAATTTTTATTAAAAATAGTGCTATTTTATAAAAACTATTGACCATGAGACTGCCCAGGTTTTCCGAGTCAAATACAAGGCATGTGCAGGAAAAAAAAAAAATTCAGCCTGGCACAGGGCTATGGTGAACCTGTCAAACCAGACCAGGTTCCTTAATTATGCTGCTTGGATAATGATAAGTTTAATGCTAATTACAATTAAAATATTATTTTATTATTTTTAATTAAAAAATACCCTCCGCTACAGTAAGAAACACACTATTAGAGCGTGTTTGGTACAATATTTAAAATATATTTCTTATAAAAATTTAAATTCCTTTATGTTGAATTAATATAGTTTTAATGTTCTTAAATCATTTTAATGTGTTGATTTTTAAAAAAATAAAAACTATTGTTGATATTATTTTCTAAGTAAAAAAAAATTAAAATTAACTATAACTACATCCTCAAACATACACTAAACAATTAAGCTTTTAATTATCGTGAACAAATGTAGCTTTCTTTTGATTTTTAAAGCTTTTATGAAAAAATAATTAATGAATAACTCCAAGCTATAAATTTAAGAAATTAAAAAAAAAAATCACAGCAAAGCTAGCCAGTCTGTTGCCTGTCGTAGATATTAATACAGGTAGCTGTGTTTAAGCCAGGTGGCTGAGTGTAAGCCTTCTTATTTCTTGGAATTTAGGACAGCACAGTTTTTGTCTTTACCCTCTTCTTGGTTTGAATTTATGGACATCTTCATTTTGGACACTACTACGTTTCCAAAAATTCTTCTTTGAATTTTCCTGTCTCTTTACTCTTTCTTTTTTTTTAATCATAGAGTTTGGGATTGATTTGACGTGGTTAATCAGATTATTCAGAATAATTGAATTTTATTAAGTTGATATTTTTAAAAAATTTAACTTAAAATATAACTTAAATCGGATTCAAATTACATATTTTTTTTTATCAATATGATATACTGAATATTACAATTATGGTTATTTCGATCCTTTTGGACTGTGCTCAAGCATTCCTTGTGCTGTGAAATGGCTATATGGAATTACATTTCAAGTAATTTTTTTGAAATAAATAGTTTGGAATTAATTTTTTATATATGTTTTATTTTTTAATTTTTTTATGTGTTGATATAGAAATAATTTTAAAAAAATAAAAAAATATTATTTTAATATATTTTTAAATAAAATATTACCTAAAAATAACTATTATCATATTATTAAATATGGCATAAGCTTTTACAAGGACTAAAGCATCTTTAATAATTTTAAAATTCAAAAGTTTAAAATGGTTCAAATAAAATGGCACGGATTGGGATCTATTGCCGACATCCACCAATCAGTATCATCCATCGTCATTGGTCTTTATCATAGCTGAACATTCGATAGTAAATAATATAATAGAGTCGAACACATTCTAAAAATTGATTTAAATTCAAAAATTCAAAATTTATTTTTGTGTTTTGGAAGTAATTTTGAAAAAAATAATTTATTTTTTTATTTACTTTAAATTAATATATTTCTAATGTTTTTAAATTATTTTAATATTTTTATATAAAAAATAATTTTAAAAATATAAAAAAATATTATCTTAATATATTTATGAATGAAAAATACTTTAAAAAGTAATCATAATTATATTTTTAAATAAAATACATATGAAAATGATAAACAATCGCATATGAAATTGTGGTGGGATATATTTTTTAAAAATAATTTTTAACTAAAATATATTTAAAAAATATATTTTTATTTTTTATATTAACATACCAAAATCATCCTTAAACACTTGAAAAACATTAATTTTTTTTCCCAGATAAACAACAATTCTAAAAGCATATGAAAAGTAGGCTGTAACGTAAAAACTAAAAATACGAATACCAATTAATACTAGATCATTGACTGAAAGCATGTTTTACCCAATTAATAAGAGGATAAAATTCACATGTCCATGGCTTGAGGTTGATTCCTCGTCGTATATGGCAAGCATTTAGCAGCATGTGAATCTGAAGTGAGCACCATTACGAGCCAAGTGTAATCATTCGATCCAATAAAAACTTCATAAAACCCTGGTGGAAGTGCATCCTCTCGAACCCTCGTATTCCAAATTTAATTCTTTTTTTTTTTATGAACAATTAGTACATTCATACATTTAATTATTCTGTAAAAATAAAATGATTTATTTACATAGCTAGCAGTGTCAAGTCGCGAGGATTTTATTTGATTATTTAGATAAATTAATTGATCACGTAATTGAAGTATTCTAGCAATGTTTTTAAAATACACCAATATTAGAAATATACTTGAAAATATTATTTCAGGTAATTTTTTTTATCAAAAAGACTCCAAAACAATACTTCTTGGATTTTTTTTATTATAAATATTTCAAACAAACCATCATGTCCTAATTTGTATGTTAATGATAATCTACTATCTCTTACCATTTTATTTTAATATCCAGACCCGTTGGCAAGGGGCTCGATGGACGAGGATGATTTTTCTTTCTTTTCATGCTCACTAAGATCCTAATAGATCAGTGTTTCAAAGCAAAAAAATATATAAATATCTATGGTTAGATAAATGAGGATAAATATATAAAATAAATAAAAATGACAAATATGAAGTGGATTTAAGTTATTTTAAAATACAGTTAAAGCTATCTAAAATAATTACACCTGCTTGCAATTGAGTTTAAACCCTCTTTTTATTAAAAAATGATTTTTTTAAAATTAAAAATTTATAGTATTTTTTATCGTTTTGATATGTTGATATTAAAAATAAATTATAAAAAATAATAATAAAATATTATTTTGATACACCTTGAAATAAAAAATATCTTGAAAAATAATATCTATTGTACTTCTAAACATCACTTTAATACTCCCAATATCATAAAAAATCATCAATTTCTTTAAGTTGTTTTTAAAATTTTAAAGTTAAACTATAATCAACAAAAGTATTATTTAATCAATATTATTAATTTATCAATACTATATTATAAATACAATACAAAATATATCTTTTTTTATTTTCATCACATTTATCATCTTAACTTAAAAAAATAATTAACATTAACTAAAAACTCCAGATATATCTTAAATATATCTTGAACAATATAATACAATAAGATAACACCTTCTCTTTTAAATTTATTCATAAAAGTTAAATTTATTATACTGAAAAAATTGATAAAAACAAGTTTATTTAATAGTGATTTGGAGTAAATTTTTTAGGATAATTTAATTGGTTAGATTTTAAATTTATTTTTTAATAATTATAAATTTAAATATTTTTAGAATTATTAAAAAATTATATAATAATTAATTTTAAAATCTATAAAATTAATCATGCTGTACATAAATTAACTGAAAAACCATATTAATAATAAAGAAAAAAAAAAGAGAATGATTTGGAGCATTAGTCACCACAGCCTCTATGAAGCCACACATTTAGTTATAGCCCACTGGTTAGTGCGCAGGTGGTGCCCCATTTCCATCAAAACTCACTGGTCACTGCCCAGTGGTCCCTACGCATTTATTTATTTTTATCCAGAACGATAATAATAATAATAATTATTATTATAATTATAATAATTCTTGCTAACAATTTTGTAATCACAATTAAAAATGCCAGCAATTCTATAGCCTCGTGAACGGAAAACCAAGACTTCATTGTACAACGAAAATATAATATCCTGGCACCGAAAATAAATAGTAAAATAGTAAATTTATTTGGAGATTGACTCAGCGTAACTTTCAGGTTATGCATTCGCTAGTTTTTTAATTTTTTTAAAAAATTAAAATAATATCTGTTATTTTTTTAAAAAAATCAACTTATTCTAACATAATCAATCCTATGTCAATCTTAATATCCAAATTAAGAAATATGTCAATTCAATCCATTTTAAATTGGTTATTTTAGATTTATTGCAATTACTTTTTAAAATATTTTTTACTTTAAAATACTTCATAAATATTTTTTTAACTTTTTTTACAATAACATATTAAAATAATTTAAAATTATAAAAAAAATATATTTACAAAAAATATTTTTCAACTACAAAAATAAATGAAATTGGATTGGAGAACAAGAAAGGAGACATTCATGCACCTAGACAAAAGCAATTCTCACAATTGCATTAAGATAAACCATTTTTGAAATAAAGGTGGACTATTAATGAAGCTAACTTTCCTAAATGTGATCTTAGAATTGCTATGTACACGCAGAATCAATTTAAATCCCAACATAACATCAAGATCAATCAAATACAAGCCTCTAGTTCATAATGATTAAAAGATCCCCATCTCCACAATGACCTGGATTTGAATTATAATATTGAAAAAAAAAACTTTCTTGATCTAAAACAATAACTATATTGAAATCACACTAAAATTTAAAAATATTAAATTATTATTTTTTATATATTTTTTTGAAAGTTTTGACATGTTAATAAAAAAATATTATTTTAATGTATTTTTGTTCATTTAACATCTAGCCATTTATATTTACTAAAATATTTTTTTATCTAAAAAATATTAAATTATTATTTTTAGGTTTTTTTAAAATATTGATATACTGGTATAAAAAATAGAAAATATTATTTTAATATATTTTTAATTAAAAATTACTTTTAAAGCATACACTGTATCACGTTACTAAACGGACTGCGTGAAACTTTAAATTTAAAACCGTAATACAAATTAAAAATTAAAACAAACAAGTGAAAATAAATTACCATAAAAAAGGAAAGAAAAGACATCACAATAATTAAAAAAAAAAAACAAAAGAAGACAAACCACCACCACCACCTCACCTCTTGTTAATCCAAAAACAGACCATGCTTCCTACAGATAGTTACTCCACTCTCCCTCTCTCTCTCCCACTTCAAACCCTAACAATCACTCCATATAAACAAATTCAAACTATAAAATATAATATTAAAGATTTACTAGGACTACTAGCAAAAGGGTCCTTCTCTTTTCTCCCTTCTTCTATAGAATTCCCTTCTTCTAGCACTCTCTATCTCCCTTCTTCGTCTACTTGTTGCTCTTTCACTTTCTTACCCCAAAACAAAAAATGGGCTCAACAAACAAAGTCCCAATTCACCACCAAACAACCCAAGTCCATTCTCAACACGAAGAAGAATCAAGAAGGGCCATAGTTTAGAGGGGGAGGGGGGTTGTTTTGTGTAGTAATATTGGCTACATTATGGGAAAAGTGGGAAATGGTGTTAGTGGTAGCGAAGAGGAGCAAGGAATAGGTACAAGTGATGAGAATGGAGAGCAAAATGTAGAGAGGAGATTTTGTTGTTTTGGATGCAAAGACAATTTTATTGTTACTAGGTTTATTGGTTTTAGATGTGTTTTTGTACTTTTATTATCTGTTGCTGTTTTTCTGTCGGCTCTTTTTTGGTTGCCTCCTTTTATAAAATTTGCAGATCAGGGGGGTCTGGATCTGGATTACAGGTTTAAAGGTAGGGATCGATTTTCTTTTCTTTTCTTTTTTAATTTTTTCTGGGTTTTTGGATCCTTGGGTGTTGGCATTTTGAACCAGGGATGGATCTGGATTATTTATTATTTTTTTAGTGGATATTTCTTTGTTATGTTTAATTCGTCGGTATTTGTTTTTTTGTTCGGTGAGGTTGTTAAGAAGTGTTTGGTTGATAGGAAAATGTGAGAACAAAGAGGAATGCGGAATTTATCAATTTGGCTTTTTTTGTATGGTTGCTTGAATTTGGGGTTTTGAAAGTGGTTATGATCAGTTGGTGGGGTATTGGGTTGGTGAGAAAATGTAGGGCAAGTAAATGATTTTTTTTTAAACTGAGGAAACAAGGTAAACTACGCAGCATTTAGTAATATAAAACTGGAGTCTGAAAATCTTATTGTAGTTTGGCAATTTTGGTTTATTTAGATTTGTTCAAGGTAGAAATACAAGTGAAGGAAGACTATTGGTATCAGAGTTTCTATATCAAGGTGGTGGTCTTTTGCGATTCTAAATCGAGTAAAGGTCTGGGTTTTTGAGATATAGACCTACGTTTTGGGACATGGAATCCTTAATTATGGATTGTTTAAGACTGAAATTTATATGGATGGGATATGTTGTACGGTTTCATGCTAGTTTTAGTAAATACAATCTATGATGCATGCAAAACAAGAAATTTGAATTGCACAAAATAATTGCTCAATCATGGTATTTCCGGAAGCTAAATAGGTATCTGCTTGTAGTACTGTAACTGGACTTCGTGTACTGTATGCCTTTTCTTTAATGATAGTGGCAATGTTCTTGCTAAAGTTTTTTCTTTGTTTAAAATAATTTGTCATTGCAATATGTTGCTGCTGAGTAGTATACTATGCACTATGCTGTTCCATATTGATTATGCATTAAGTATGAACTTACACCCTTCAAATTTATTAGACTATCCACTTAATAGTGCTGATAATTGGATGGAAGCTTTAACAAGGTGTGGGAGTCTGCCGATGTGTTATGTTCCATAGATGATAGGCCTTCCTACCATAGTCATGCATGGCTGGTTTTGTTAGGTGCTGCAAGCGAGGTTTTGCTGAGTTTTGTAATGACCGATGAATTTGGTTTGGCTTTCAGTCCCAATGAATTAGTGACAAAGTGTGATTAAGCTTAGTTCAGCTGCATATCTAGTATCTTGTGGATAATTTGAACTAAAACGGTTCTTTAAGTAAGTTATTGCTGGTGTTTTTCATGATGCTGATAAAGCATTCATGTAGTGTCCATGCCTTTTGGGTCTCAATCATGTAGCACCTTTTATGGGATTCATTTTCATTTTGGAATAGGAATCACCTTCAGTCACATTGTGCTGTTGATATGTGCAGAAGTGTAAAATGGTTCAGTGGAGAGTATCATTGGTCATTACGGGCGTTTAGGTTTGTTTCATTGACGCGACATCTGTTATTGGAAGCCTCTGTGTGATAAACATCAATTGATTTGTAGACATCCCTTGATGCTTTTACAATGATGTCAGTGTCTTAACAGTGAGTGAATCGTTTCTGCAAAAGAAAGAAAAGGACATTAAAGAAAAGATAAGAGAAAGGTGTTGGTTTTGAAGCTGTAGAAGAAAAGGGCAAATGAAAATGTGCCTTTCATGCTATATGTTATGTGGGTGCATGCAATGAATGAATGATTCTGTTTATTTGATGTGCATTTTATCTTCACAAGTCCTTCTTTCAAATTATTTCATGGGTTCAAACCATGAAATTCACTCTTTCAATTATTGTTATTAACATGTTCAATTTTTATGTATTCAGATCATGATATAGTAGCAAGTTTCCTAGTCAATAAGTCGGCTTCCTTGCTGGAGGACAATATATTGATGCTTCAAGATGATATTTTTGATGAGATGAATGTTCCTAATACCAAGGTATTCACTTGATTGATCACTCTTATATTATTCAATCCATACTTTCTCAATTTTGATTCAAATTCATTTGTTGAATCAGGTTGTTATCCTGTCTCTAGAGCCTTTCACTGGATCAAACACTACAAAGGTCGTGTTTGGGGTTGATCCTCTTGAAAATAATTCTAAAATAACATCAACCGATCAAAGTCTAATCAGGAGCTTGTTCGGATATTTGGTTGTAAACGACTCATCTCTCAGACTAACTGAGTCCTTGTTCGGAGATGCCTTCTCTTTTGAGGTGCTAAAATTTCCTGGAGGAATTACCATTATTCCACCACAGAGTGCTTTTCTTTTGCAGAAAGTGCGAATACCATTCAACTTTACCTTGAATTTCTCTATATTTCAAATACGGGAGAATTTTGCCGATCTGAAAAGTCAACTGATGACAGGACTTCATCTAACAACCCGTGAGGTTTGCTGATAATTTGCCTCCTTTCTTTTAAACTATGACCTATTTTGCACTTTGTGTAACAACTATTTGTATACATACATGTGTGTGAGGTATCTCTTTACAGCAGCGTTTCCGTATTCCAACTCTTGAATGTGTATTTGAGAATGCAGCATGGTGTGTTTGTGTATTGGTAGTGAGGGATCATGACTTAGGTTTGGGTCCCTTGAAGTTGTGTAATACGCGAGTTGGTAGGAATATGTGAAGGAAGGGTTTCTTTTCTGCGTTTACAATCCTTTTGGAGAGAGAAACTCATGTGATGTAACTTTTAATCCATCAAAGATTCTATTCCATGGTCGCTCAAATAGAGATATGCCTGTCAGTTTCTCTAGAGAATTGATTCATTGACCACTCTAGTGTTTGCCATGCAGAATCTGATGGTTTTCTTTTTGAATGCAGAACTTGTACATAAACTTATGGAATTCACAAGGTTCAACTGTGGCTCTCCCTACTACTGTTTTGTCATCAGTTATACTGGTTATTGGGAATACCCCCAGGTTAAAGCAACTGGCTCAAACCATCAGAGGTCATTCCAAGAATCTTGGCCTGAATAACACTGTTTTTGGTAAAGTGAAGCAGGTTCGTCTATCATCCATCTTGCAACATTCTCTCCATGGTGGTGAAGGCAGTGCCCCTTCACCTTCTCCTACATCTCTTCCTAACCCCCCTCACCACCACCACGGCCACCACCACCGACACCACCACCACCACCACGGCCACCACCACCACGGCCACCACCACCACCGACACCGCCACCACCACCGCCACCACCACCGCCACCATGCCCATGCTCCTGCAATTTCACCTGTACCTCCAACTAAGAGAAGCGCACCTGCACCTGTAGATGGTTCACCTGCACCTCATAACAGCAATGGAGCAAAACCTCCTGGTTGTCAATTTGGGTGTAAAAGAGGGTTTACAGGGAATGGCAGAAAGGGGTCTCATTTAGCCCCTTCAAATGCACCTAGTAGTTCCCCTCACTTTTCTGCTACCTCACCTCAACATGACAATGGTCCACCATCAGTGTCGCCAACCCCTTCACCTATTTCCCAAACAATTCCTGCATCTAGTCCTTTGCCAAATGTAGTCTTTGCCCATGCTCAGCCACCATCAGGGGGTAAACCTGAGGAGCATCATGACACAATGCCGTCAGTTTCACCATCACCGGCACCATCTTCATGTGAGTACATTAAATAAACTAAGTGCTTCTTATCAGAGATAAAAGCATAGATTTTATATTTTCTTTTCTTTGTAAATGGATGAAATTTTTTTCTCTGCATGGACATTCGTCCCCTTAATTTTTCATTCTGGCTCTCTTACTGAATATTTGTTTATGAAACATCACATGGGTTGATTTGTTTGGTATATGGATTTCTTTTAGTCTTTTGTTTTTTCCCCTCGTACACCTTTTTTTTCACAAGCTTGATTTTTCTTTGCATTTATTTCTAAAACAATCTCTTTTCTTAGATGGGCAATGAAAATCTTTAACGCATGAACCATGCACCAATGATCTGAAACTGCCGGACCATTATTCAAATGGTTATATTCACATGAATGCCATGTGCTAAACATCTACTTTTGCAGCTTCTTCAGGTCTTCTCACTGTTCGGTGGTCAATTGTGCTATCCCTAGCTGCTCTTGTATTACAATTATAACAAAGCAAAAGAGAAACGGTCTATTTTCTAGTTAAAATCACTTCTCTGGGAGTCGAAGGACTCAACTGCATCTCGCAATTCAGACAGACAGAACAAACTGGAGGAGTTCAAGTGGGAGCAACGCAAAGGGCGTGCCTCACATCCAAGTGGATACATGTTTTTGTGCGTGTAAATATTTGATTAAAAAGTTCAGCATGCCGATGCATTTTCAGGTCAAAGTCACAGAGGTGGCAGGTCTTTGATTGCATTGCTGCTGTTGTACTCTTCTGCAGAAATGTAAGAAGGAAAAAAAAAAGCCAAAAAAAAAGGAAAAAAAAACAAATGTATCAAATTACCATTTTGTTTCTCATCCCTGCCAAGTCAATCAGGTATGATTTTTTATCCTGAGGCCTTCCTGCTTACTCTCTTTCAGTTTCGCCTTTAAACTTTTAGCCTTTCAAATCACGATGGCTGGATGTTGTGCATGGTGTATTGGTGTTTTGCCTAATCCTGTTCCCTTAATTTCTTTCGAGAGAGAGAAGGAAAAAGGAACAGAAGATGCTGCACTTCAATAATTCTTCCGTGTTATCTTTGTCCCATTTGTTGTGTTGCAGCATGGGACGAGGGATATGGTGGTTGAGTGTTGGGTGGATAGGGTTCATCTGGTGTCATTGTCTATGTTCAGATGCGATATCATAGTGATATGAAAATAATAATTTGGAGGAAAAAAAAGATTTTTTAAAAATATTTTTGAAAGTGATTTTGAAGCTTTTAAATAATCTGGTTCTTACTTCGTAAAGATGGCATTAATAACAGTGTTATTTGGGTTCCATCCTAGGGTTGTGAGAGCAGTCACAGATTCAAACCTGTAGTGCTTTAAGAGTGTATCAATGAGCTCAGACATTATTTGGTTATTGTTCGCTCAACTCTTTTTCATGGAAATTCCCGCGTACCATTGATGCAATGGAAAGTCACAAAGTCAATGCTTGTTTATGCTATAGGTTGGCCACACAAAGAGCCAACTGGCTCGGCAGATACCTTTTTACTCGCTTGGCTGTCCTTGCCATTTTGTAACCTGTTTCAAAAAAAAAAAAAAAAAAACTTTGACAATAATAATTTAAAGCTAAAATTTTTTTATTTATTTTAAATTATATTTGGATTGTAACGCCAAACATCTTTTTAGTATACTGGACAACCACTTGTGTTTGTTGAACATAAAAAAAATGTTGTTCAGTTGTTCTTAACATATGAAAAAAATAATAATTTATGTGATAGTTGATAAATTAAATGTTTGGTAAAAATATAGTTCGATTAAAAATATCAAGATTAAATATAGATAATCAGACTAATTTACAATTCGGTCAGATTATAATAACTTTATAAAAAAAAGATTATGATAACTTTATAAAAAAAAAATATGAAGCGTAATTTTTAATTAATTTAATATTAAAAAATTAAAATGTAAAAATTCAATTAAAAATGAAAAAATATCTCAAATTAATTTACATCAATTTGTCAAATTTAAATAATGAGATTTAAATAATTACATATTAAAAAAAATTATGAAGTGAAATTTATAATCAATTTAATATTAAAAGACAAAACTAAAAAATAAATATTTAATTAAAAAAGAAAAAAATTCAAACTAATCTAGTTAACTTGTAAAATTTATGATTTGAATTAATTTGTCAAACTTATTCTATAAAATTAAAATAATTTTATCTATAATAAATTAAAATAAATTATAAAATTTAATATTCTAAAAAATTTTGAAAAAGAAAAAGAAAAAAACATTTTACAGCTCAACGCTACAGTAAACACAAGGCCTTTAAGTGCAAGTCAATAATTAATAAGAGACAAGTGTTGGGCACGAATCTCTCCAAACAGACCTTAGTAGCTGCCACAATGATCAATCAATGAGTAGGTTTATCCGCAGCAGTACAGTATCATTGCGCTAACAAGTCGGGAGGTTGGGATCGTGATTGAAGCTGCATATCTCATAATGTGCTCAAAGAACTTTAGTCTCTTTCTTTATTCTCGTTGCTGGACCTTCTGATTTGACAAAAAAAATGGTTGGATTATCGAGCGGAAGTTCATCAACTCATTGAATAGTTCTTCTAAACTAAAATCCAACCCAAATTAGTTTTTAAATTATATTTTTTAAAGTTAATTTATAAATTCATATTGAATTTAATACCTATGATTATAATTATTAGTTTCGTTTATCCAAGCTTGTTATTTACCTGAACAAGGTTTAGGGTCTAAAATGTAAGCTTGAATTCTTCATCAAAGAAACAAACAAACAAATAAACAAAAATGGTTGCTCTTACTACTTGAACAAGGTCCGTCCCCCCTCCATCGCCTCCATAGTCTATACAGCTTACCTGATATGGGTGCCGAGTTCCCATGGATGTCTCAGGAGATCAAGAAGGGGCTTCAACACTTCGCCCCCCTCCGTGACGCCTTTGCTGTGGTTTTTTCATATTTTGCCCCCCTGCCATACTCGCTGTGATAGCATTACAATATATATTTCAATTAATCTTTATAAATTCTAAAATTAATAATCAAATAAGCTTTTAATAAATATTACTGTTACCACCTACATAGCTTAATCATGAAAGCAGAAAAAAGTATACCCTTGATGCTTAACAATATTTTTATACCTTTGAGAATGGACTATCTCATAAAATTCCTGTGAATTGCACGGATTCCTTGCTAATTTCTTTATGTGGAGGCAGATTGCGATTGAGCTTTGTCTTAGTGAATAAAATATATACTTTATGTCTTGAAATAATATTGAAACATGGACTAAATAATGGAACTGTGAAAATGAAAGGTTTTGTTTCCTTTCTTCTAAAGAAAAATCTTGGAGATGGAGGCAAGAAAAACACTTTGTATTTGTATTTTTTTTGTTTAAAATTATTTTTTATTTTTAATATCAATACATTAAAATCATATAAAATCATTAAAAAAACATAAATTTCATATTTTTTTTTAAAATGTAGCTACACACAGTTTCAAACATTTAAAAAAGTAAATGATATTAAAATATAATTTTTCTTAGCAATAGGGTGTAAGAAGTTGAAAGTCAATGGGATTTTTTTTTTGTTTTTTTTTTAAATTAAGATCAACCTAAAAGAAAGATTGGATCATTGAATTAATTGTTTTTATTAAAATGTTATTGTTTTATTCATTATTTTTTTAAGCAACAAGGGACACACAAACTTGGAGAGTTCTGTCTCTCTGTGCCATCACTCGTGAGTTTTAAGTGTGTGAGATTCTCCCTTGTAGAGAGCTTTGGATTTGATTTTCATTTCTAACCAGCTAAGATGCACATCCACACCCTTGTTGTCTACTTTTCGATTCACAAAAGAAAAATATCAAAGCTCAACCGTTTGCATATTCTCTTCTCAATAAAGAATCAATAAAAATATCTTTGTATTGAGAAAGTGATGATCATTTCATTATCTTCAAAGTAACCTCTCCTTTCGCTGCATTGGAACCAAACGAACCTCACTCTTAGATTCCTTTGTTTCTATAAGAGGCACCGCTCTTTGTTGGTTTTTTAAAAAACGTGGAAACTAGTCTCTTTTGATTAAAGTAAAGGTGATTACTGCTCATATTTCGATTAGAGATTCAATCTTTATCTCCTTTTCAAGTTAATCACTTGGAATTTTGATCCGGGCACTTATTGTTGGTCAAAATATAAAATTTTGCATGGCTTCTTTAAGTTCATGATTTTTACCTTTCGGGTCACTTCAGTTCTGCTATGTTTATCAATTAGTTTTGCAGAGTTTTTTTTTTTAAAAAAAAGTAGTTACTAACAGATTGCGTTTTGGGTTACGGTAGAAATCAAGAAATATCACCAGGGTCTCATTTGTTGCTCAACGAAATGGAAAATTTGGGATTGTTTACTGGAACCAAGATTGTGAAGTCAGTGAATGTGAGTTTTAGATTACCATATTATACTCACTGGGGTCAGAGACTGCTTGTGTGTGGATCTGAACCTGTCCTGGGTTCATGGGATGTGAAGAAAGGCTTGTTATTGAGCCCTGCGCATCAAGGTGAGGAGCTCATATGGCGTGGAAGTGTTGCAGTACCGAGTGAATTTAGTTGCGAGTACAGTTATTATGTGGTCGATGATGAAAAGAGTGTGTTGAGGCGGGAGATGGGAAAGAAGCGTACATTGGTATTGCCCGAGGAGATAAATGGCGGAGAGAATGTGGAGATTCATGATCTTTGGCAGGTGATGCTTTGTGCTCTTTTCTTTCACTCCTTTTCATGCTTTACGAATTGGTGTTTTCCATTTTCATTTTGTAGAAATTTTCTTTAAAGGATTCTTTCTGTGCCCATTATTCTGGAAATGTATGTAACGGCGCTGTAATGACATGTGTCACCAACAGATTTTTCTTGTAAAGAGAAGTAATCTCACAATAACAATTGCTCTTCATGGTTAGAATTATGTTGGCTTCATAATGATTCATTGATTGAAGGGGCGTAGAGTTTACCAATAAAACAATGTTGGTTTCTTCACATGTAACTTTACTGATGTAGAAGTTCATTTTCATGGAATTCAGACTGGTGGTGATGCCATCCCTTTCAGAAGTGCCTTCAAAGATGTCATCTTTCGCCAAAGTTGGGGTTTGAACATAGAGAGACCCCTTGGAATTCAGAATAAGTTGGACATGGAAGGTAATTGTACAGACTTATTAATGTTCAATCGTTGTTGCTGTTGCTATTGTTGTGTTAATGTTTGTGCCTGATTTCTGTTTGCTAACCTTTTTTCCTTTGTGATTTCTTAACTATAATAGATGCAGTCCTTGTCCATTTCAAAATTTGCTGCTCAAATGTAGAAGAAGAGACATCAGTAAATTCTCTCTCCCTGCTGAGCTGCCCGCATTTGTCTGCAAGCAAAGTTATTCATGCTCTTTTCAGCATTGCACCTGCTTATGAAGTTTGATATGTCCAGGTATATGTAATTGGCAGCACCGCAAAGTTAGGGCAGTGGAAATTTCACAATGGACTTAAACTTAACTATGCTGGTGACTCAGTTTGGCAAGCAGATGTTGTGATGCAAAAGGGTGATTTTCCATTAAAATATCCTTTCGAAGCGTTTCCCCCCAAACAGTTGGATGTTTTCTAAATCATTTGGTTATTGTTCTACTGTTCTCTCCCTCCCTGTGTATGTCTCTGTTTGTCTTCCTTAATGGTTGTTTACGTATAAGTACTGTAAATACGGAAAGGCAGGAAACTTTTCTTTGGAAACTGGTGCACATCGCGACCTTTCTATTGACTCTTCTAAAGTTCAGCCAAGATATATTTTCCTTTCAGATGGCATGATGCGAGTAAGCTATAAAGATTAACTCAAATGTCAGCATGTGTTGTTGTCAACATATGTTGTGGTGTTGGAGACTTTTCAAGCGTGATTATAA